ATTTATTACACAGGATGTGGATGAACAACCAGATGAAGTATATAGGTGAGGTTTGGAGGGACCTGAATGCAGGACCTCTGTCCCCATGGACTTAGGGGTGCAAGGGGGTTGGGATTTTTTTATGAAGGTTTCATTACATAGATATGATAGATTAAATCACTGGTCCATGGTGACTGACCTCCATCTCTAGCCCCTCTCCCCACCCTGGAGGCTGGCAGCGGAGGGCTGAAAATTCTGTCCCTCTAATCTCATGGTTTTCTGGCACCCAGTCCCCATCCTGAAGTTATCGAGGGCTCCCCTATGATAAGCCATGATCCCTCATTAGCACACAAAAGACAGTAAATTCCAAGGGTTTTAGGAGCTCTGTGCCAGGAACACAAAAGCCAAACAATTAACAGTTAATTAATTGAGACAGGATCTTGCTTTTGCATACCCAGGCTGGAGTGCAGTGGCATGATCCCAGCTCACTCCAGCCTTGACCTCCCAGCCGTGATTCTCCTGCCTCAGCTGCCCGAGTAGCTGGAACCACAGGTACTCGGCACCATGCCCAGCCAATTTTTTGATTTTTTTTAAATAGAGACGGGGTTTTGGTATGTTGCCCGGGCTGGTCTTGAACTCCTGGGCTAGAATGATTCTCCTGCCTCAGCCTCCCAAAATGCTGGGATTACAGGCATAAGTCATTTTGTCATTTTTTTTTTTATAACACGTGGGATATTTGCAATGTTTTTGGAAAATACTACTGCATTGCAAAGACAAAATAAGCCTTTATAATGATGATAATGCTTCTTGTGGTTGTCTCCAGCCCAGCTCCCTACAGCTGGCTCAAGGGCACACGTTGGACCCTGTTGGTTCAGGCGGGCTGGGATGTGGGGGGAATGGTGACAGGGGGATGGGCAGGTTTTCTTCCCCAAGACTCAGGACTCAACCTCAAATTCAAGGATCAAATGACAGAGCTCTATGGCAGAGGGGTAACAAAACTGTCAGCCTGCGAGAGACAACCTGACAGGGTGTCCAACACACAGAGGGTTCACCCTGCTGCAGACCGTGCCCTCAGGCACCCAGTGAGCTTAAAAAATGTCTTCCATTTGTCAGATGGGGTACCTTAAACTCTGGCACGCCCAGGTTATAACGCAAACGTGTTCAGTGGGGGAAGGCATGAAATCACTGACAGAGATGAGCGGCGCTGCTCCGCGAACCTGGGAGAGGAGGGCTCTGAGAAGCAAGACTCCTCCTGAGGAGATCGGGCCACACCTCCCACCGAGAGAGGGCACTCACCGGAGGTTCAAGGCACAGCTGGGGCCTAAGAGCCCAGGGACAGCTCAGGATATGGCACTGAAGACAGGCAGCCCCATAACTTCTGCCAGAAAATCCAGACATTGAGTGTAATTCATTTTGGTGTCTTCACATTTCAAGCTCATTTATCCAGGTCAGGACCATTTATTTCGCATCTAACAAGTCGAGGCCTGTGCAGCATCCTTCTAACATATGGCCTGTTCATGCCCTGCCTTTGTGCATCTGTCACGGCCATGTTTTGGGAGGAGGCTGACTCATCCAGTTTTGCACCGTCAGCTGGCAGGGGCAATCCCACTGTGCAGCGGCTTGAGGAGGGGCACGCTGCCTGACCCAGCCCCCTTGGCTTCCCCAGCCACCCAAACCCTGCTCTTCAAAGAAAGAAATGGGGGTACCTGGCAGGCTACCTGTGAGTCACTCATCTCCTGGGAAATGTTCCAGGTGCCACTTGGAGGAGATCACTCTGGAAAGCTCCCTGATGCCCAGCAAGCCCATCACTATGGCAACCCATCCATCCTGAGCTGCTCCTCCCTTGGGCCTCCAGAAAGGAGGCTGACTGAGGTGATGCAAGTTTCTCTGAGGTGAGGCTTATCTCTTATAGAAAAAAACTATCTTGAAATATTTCAGAGAAATAAAAAGTTATAATGAATAATATAAGAAATATCTGTGTTGACACCTCCTAATTTAAGATATAAAGCCACAGCTGTAAATAAAGCTCCCTTTTTTTGGTTTGTTTGACACAGCGTCTGGCTGTGTCACCCAGGCTGGAGCAGTATGATCTCAGCTCGCTGCAACCTCCGCCTCCTGGGCTCAAGCCATCCTCCCACCTTAGCCTCCCCAGTAGCTAGGACTATAGGCACAAACCACAATGCCTATCTAATTTTTTTTTTGTTGTTTGTATTTTTTGTAGAGAGGGGGTTTCGTGATGTTACCCAGGCTGGTCTGAAACTCCTGAGCTCAAGGGATCCTCCTGCCTCAGCCTCCAAAAGTGCTGGAATTATAGGCGTGAGCCACCGTGCCTGGCCCAAAGCTTTTTTGGGGGGAGTGGGGACAGGGTCTTGCTCTGCTGCCCAGGCTGGAGTGCAGTGGTGCGATCTTGGCTCACTGCAACCTCCGCCCTTCTGGGCTCAAGCCATCCTCCCACCCAACCCTCTTTTTGTAGCTGGGACTGCAGGTAGGCACCACCATGCCCTGCTAATTTTTGTTGTATTTTTTGTAGAGACAGGGTTTCACTACGTTGTCCAGGCTGGTTTTGAACTCCTGAGCTCAAGGGACCCTCTGGCTTCGGCCTCCCAAAGTGCTGGGATTACAGGTGTGAGCCACACCTCTGGCCAAAAGCTCCTTTTTGATCTCTCTTATCATATGGACTTCCTCATCCCACAAGAGGCTTCCTCTATGCTAGGCTTAAAATTTATCACTATATATGTATATATATATAGTGTGTGTATACATACGTATATACACACATATGTATACATGCATATATATAAATATGTACACTATATATACATATACAAATATATGCATGTTCTGAACCACAGAACAGAAAACCATTTTAAACCGTATTGAATTACACATCACAAGGGTGGGCAACCAACACCTCTATGTTAGCATGTTTTAAAATCCATACAACTGGGATTGTATGGCATGTCTTTTGCAATTTGCATTGTGCATCAGTGCTGCTTACAAGGTTTGTCTGTGTTGACGCACATAGCCCCAGCTTGTGTATTTCATTGCCAAATCATACGCCATTGTGTGACTACTTTACAATTGACCCATTCTCCTGGCAGGCACTGGGCTGTGAAGGTGTTTAGAATATGCCACCCAAAATATGCCACTCTAGCCTATTGACCATTTTGAGTTAAAGGCACCTGTGGCCTTGCAAGGTGGCTCATGCCTATAGTCCCAGCACTTTGGGAGGCTGAAGTGAGAGGATTGCTTGAGCTCAGGAATTTGAGACCATCCTGGCCAACACGACAAGACTCTGTCATTAAAAAAAAAATTTTATCTGAGCCTAGTGACATGTGCCTATAGTCCTAGCTACTCAAGAGGCTGAATGTGAAGATCACTTGAGCCCAGGAAGTTGAGGCTGCAGTGACCTATGATGGCACCACTGCACTCCAGCCTGGGAGATACAGTAAGACCCTTTCTCTAAAAAAAGGTACTTGAAAAACATATGCAAGAAGGATAGTCTGACCTTCCTTCTTCTTAAAAAAAAAAAAAAAAAATGAAATTGTCATGTGAAATGCATCCTTCTTTGTTTTTTGAGATGGAGTCTTGCTCTGTCACCCAGACTGGAGTGCAGTAGTACAATCTCGGCTCACTGCAGCCTCTGCCTCCAGGATTCAAGCGATTCTTCTGTCTCAGCCTCCTGAGTAGCTGGGATTACAGGCATGTGCCACCACACTCTGATAATTTTTGTGTGTTTTTTTTTGGTAAATATGGGGTTTCACCATGTTGGCCAGGCTGGTCTCGAACTCATCCCACAAGGAAGCCTCTTGTGGGATAAGGAAGGCTATATGATAAGAGAGATCAGAAAGGACCTTTCGGCCAGAGGTGTGGCTCACACCTGTAATCCCAGCACTTTGGGAGGCCAAAGCGAGAGGATCCCTTGAGCTCAGGAGTTCAAAATCAGCCTGGGCAACATAGTGAAACCCTGTTTCTACAAAAAATACAACAAAAATTAGCAGGTCACGGTGGTGCCTACCTGCAGTCCCAGCTACAAAAGGAGGGTGAGGCATGAGATCTGCCTGCCTCAGCCTCCCAAAGTGCTGAGATTACAGGCATGAGCCACTGTGCCTGGCCAGTGTATCCTTCTCATATCAGAAGGAAAGAGACACTTTTATCACCAAGGAGGGGGAAGTTAAGGCTAAGAGAAATCTGTACAAACCTTGTTAACAAACTGTATCTTCCCACTTTTTCAACCAATATAACTCCCCTAGCTCAGGTCCTTTTACTTTGTCACACTTACTGCTCTTTGCCCAACTCAGTATATAAGCTTTCAACTCTGTTTCTTTGGGTCCTCGTGTTTCTAGTGAGGACTCCCATGTATATGTTAAAAAAAGGTAAATAACTAAAGAGGGTAGAAGAGAAATTTTTCCTCCTCTACAGTGGTTTTCAAGTTTTTATAGTTACCAATACAGGTTGAGCTTTCAAATCCAGAATGCTCCAAAATATGGAACTTTTAGAGTGCGCACATGAGGCTCAAAGGAAATGCTAATTGGAGCACATGCATTTCAGATTTTTGGATCTGGGGTGCTGGATCAGTCTAATGCAAATATTCCAAAATCCAAAGAAATCTGAAATCTGAAACACTTCTGGTCCCAAGCATTTCAGATAAGGGATACTTTTTTCTTTTTTTAATAGAATGCTTCACGAATTTGCATGTCAACCTGTATTAGTCCATTTTCACGCTGCTGATAAAGACATACCTGAGACTGGGAAGAAAAAAAGGTTTAATTGGACTTACAGTTCCACAAGGTTTGGGAGGCCTGAGAATCATGGCAGGAGGCAAAAGGCACTTCTTACATGGCACAGGCAAGAGAAAATGAGGAAGATGCAAAAGCGGAAACCCCTGTTAAAACCGTCAGATCTCGTGAAACTTACTATACCATGAAAACAGTATGGGGGAAACCGCCCCCATGATTCAAACATCTCCCACTGGGTCCCTCCCATAACACGTGGGAATTATGGGAGTACAATTCAAGATGAGATTTGGGTGGGGACACAGCCAAACCATATCACGTGCTTGTGTAGAGGCCATGCTAATCTTCTCTGTATCGTTCCATTTTTTTAGTATATATGCTGCTGAAGCAAATGGCTGCAGTCATCTGGGCATCTACTCCCTTCACTATCTAACCCCAGGCAGACGAGGGGTCAGGGTACTTAACCTGTACTCCTACCTCCTTGTGCACCTGCTAGTGCTTCTCCAGATGTATCTCGGAGTACATTTGCTGCATCCCGCGCCAGGTACAGCTCTTAGACACTGCCAAAGTGCTCTGTAAAGTGGCAGTAATTTATACTCCTATAAGCTTGGCTGTCTTGGGGAAGGAGGAGCCAGGGGCACAATTTGCTTATAGTAACTTGATGGTGTATTTCACCTAATAAAGTGTTGTGAGGTAGGCAGAACAGGATTATTCACCATCCTCAGCAACCTTTCAAAGGTGAGGAATCTGAGACGCAGAGGTTGAGGGATTTAGCCGGATCACAGAGACAGCAGGGTTAGAGGCAGGACGTCAACCCATGTGTCTGACCTGACAGCGCTCTCCTTACATTAGTTTCTCTCCCTCCTCCCTAGCACAGTCACCAAGTGCCTTATATGAGCACAGACTCAGCCTATGCATCAGCTTTCTGAGACCACAAACAACGAAAGCTGGCTGCAGAGCAGGGAGCGGGACCCCGAGGAGGGGCTCTGTGGTGCGACCCTGCTGGACTTCTCCATCCCAGCTTCCTTGCTGGGGTCAACTTGCCTGTGCATGAAGATTGCATCTGGTAGTATTTTTGGACTTAAGTTGCTCTAAGAAGGAATAAGCAATGGTAAAAAAGACTTAGCAGGCCAGGTGTGGTGGCTTACACCAATTGCTTGAGGTCAGGCGTTGGGGACCAGCCTGGGCAACATGGTGAAACCCCGTCTCTACCAAAAATGCAAAACTTAGCCAGGCGTGGTGGTACATACCTGCAGTATGCCATTAGAGGCATAATATAAGAGGCTGAGGTGGGGGGCCTGCTTGAGCCCAGGGAGGCTGAGGCTACACTGAGCTGAGATCATGCCACTGTACTTCAGCCTGGGTGGCAGAGCGAGACCCTGTCTCAAAAATGAAGTAACAGAAGAGGCCAACACAGGAATCTGCAGCCCAGGGAAGGTGGGGCAGGGGAGTGGCACTCAATGTCCCTGACTCTCTGAACCTCCCACACACCAAACGGCTGCAGTCATCTGGGCACCTACTCCCTTCACTCCCTAACCCCAGGCAGTGTCTCAAAGAGAGGAGGCCAACACCCTCCACTCAGAAATGCTCAGCACAGAAACGTAACCGTGGAGCAGAGCTTAGACGTGGGTGACACCTGGCCACCAGGCCTGTCTGAAGCAAGGCTGAAGTCCTAGGTAAAGACTTCTCAGCAGCACCCCCTCTCTCCTGCAGAGAGTGGTTCAGAAGCTGCCTAGACTGGGCAGTACCAGGGCTGAGGCCAGGATGCCCACATCTCCGTGAACTTTTGACACAAATATTCAGTACCAGCGGGCAGGTGCCATTCTCTTCATCTGCAAGAACCTTCTCAACCTTTGGTTTTTCCATCTCCTTGCCCTCAGGTCTTTCCTTCCCAACATGGCGCTAGGATCCAGCGGGTGATGAGAAGCTACTGAACTTCCTCCGCTCCCACATCCTGCCCTCCAGCCATGCCATGTGGGTTAGGCCCTGGCTGTGGTACCGGATGACCTCAGGCATGTTTCCTCCTCTGAAAGGGCAGAGGATCTAACAAGATAGCATGAGAGGAAGCACCTGGCACACAGGACTGACCGATCATTTGCTGATGAAGCTGAAAGCTTCTGATCCTTCCCAGGAACTCCCATTCTCAGCCCAATTCCTGTTTGTTCACCTGTGCTTTTTGGTAATTAAAAAAGTTGTGAGTCTCACCCAACATGCCTGGACAATTCCAGATCTGGCTAAGGAATAATACCAAAAAGCAGAAGACCGCTCTTGAGAGCCTGTTCTAGGCCCTTTCCACCACACCGCGTCAAACCGCAGACCACATCACACCAGGCCACATTAACTACACCACACCACACACTGCGGTCTCACCACATCAACCACACCGCCTATACTGCCACCACGAGGCAGCACGGCACCTGGAGAGCCTGTCACCGGCCTTCCTGGTCCCTGCCTGGCTGCCAGAGGCACCATCACTCCACTCCTGCCCAGGAGGTCTCCGGGCCTTTGCGGTGCCAGCCACTCACCTAACCTGCACCGCGCAGTTCTGAAGTCAGGCCTCTTAGCCCAGTGCCTCTGTACGGGCGCTGACAGTATACAGCTCACATAGGATTTCCTTCTTCACGTGTCCCCTTTTGCCCCTAGAGACCTTAGGCAGAGTTCCTAATTAGAGCACTGCGTTATTCAGGAAATAGGTGAGCAGAGCACATCAAGAGGCTTATTTTATTTTTGACCTTATCCTGTTTCAGGGCAGTTTTTTCAGTAATGAGAAGGTACCAGATGCCCTGGAAATCTGACACACCAAAATTTGGGACGTGGAGAGGACAAGAGCAAGGCCAGGAAAAATCAACTCCAAGGGAGTCTCTGAACTCTGCAGGACCAGCTAAGAAGGTATCCTTGGATTGTCCTTGTCAGCCATTCACCCCACAGCAGGGGATGAGCACTGCGCCCTGCAGAAGGCTGCCAAACACCTCTTAGCACTGACTCATTCTTTCTACTTCCCACTTCCTGCAAACAGTTTCCTTGACAATTCCCAACTCCGGGATAAAGGGACACCACTTCCTTTGGGAGTTAGATGGGTTTTCACTAAATGTGGACGTAAGAGCTAGATAAAACATGAGTCACTTGTTCTTAAAAACTATGGGCAGGAGTGTCTGTCATGGTTCAAGTCAGACTTGTAATAAAAAAGGTGGCTTTTGTTTTGATAGGGTCTTGCTCTGTTGCTCAGGCTGGAATGCAGGGGCACAATCACAGCTTACTGCAGCCTTGATTCCCTGGGCTCAAGTGATCTTCCCACCTCAGCCTTCCAAGTAGCTGAGATCACAAGCATGCACTGCTATGTCCAGCTAATTTTTATATTTTTTGTAGAGACAGGGTCTCACTATATGTTGCCCAGGCTGGTCTCAAACTTCTGGCGTCAAGTGATATGCCCGTCTCAGCCTCTCAAAGTACTGGGATTACAGGTGTGAGCCACCGTGCCTGGCTGAAAAGGTGATTCTTGATTGAAGGCAAACACGCTTTAATCAGTCCTACCCACCAGCCTGATCTCAGTGGGTGCACTGGCTTTTCCTAGGAAGAGGTTGGGATAGGTAGCAATGCTGGCTGAGAAAGTAGGTCCCACTGAGGGCACAGATGGGTTCAGGCAGCACAGATGACCAAGAGGAACACCCAAGAGTGGTCCATCCCTGCCTTAGGCACCCCCATGGATACGCACCTGCTTGGTCCTCTGCCTGGGTCACTGGCTGGTGCCAAAGGCATGCTCCATTCTGCAGTCACAGCACCCAGTGATAGGGATGGTCAGGCAGGGCTTGAGAAGACTCCTGCCTCCTAGGGCCTGGCTTATACCTACAAGAAACAGCCACCCATTTGCAGATACCCACTGCCAATGCCCAAGGACGCCATCTTGCTGGCCAGTTCCCCTGTCCCTTGAACTTGATCCACAATAGTAATGAGTAAAAAGAAGGGGCCAGAGGAGGCCCTTCAGAGCCTGGGAAGAAGAGGTGACATAGAATCTGCAGTCTGGTTTCCAAGTTGTTAAAAACAGGCATAGTTAAGACCAACCCAGGCAACACAGTGAGACCCTACCTCTATAAAAAATTAAAAAGTTAGCTGGGTGCAATGGTGTTTACCTCCCATGCAGTGGTCCCAGCTGCTTGGGGTGTTGAGGTGAAAGGATCTCTTGAGCCCAAGAGGTCGAGACTGCAGTGAACCATGATTGTGCCATTGCATTGATTGGGCAACAAAGCAAGATCCTGTCTCAAAATAAAATAAATAAAGAAAAGAAAAACAGGCACCCAGGATCTTAGGAGACAGAAAGGACCTCCTTCCTGGACAATGGTCCCCTCTACCACACTCCCGGCCATTGTGAGACCTGCAGGGTGGGGAGATGAGTCCTGGGGGGCTGCCCACACTGTACTAGAACAGCCTGAGCCCATCAAAGTCTTTCCTTACTCGGAGCCTCCCTGTGACTTTTTTTTTTTTAGATGGAGTCTCGCTTTGCTGCCCAGGCTGCAGTGCATGTGTGCAATCTTGGCTCACTGCAACTGTCAGCTCTTGGGTTTAAGCGGTTCTCCTGCCTTGGCCTCCCAAGTCGCTGGGATTACAGGCGTGCACAAGCACGCCCAGCTAATTTTTGTATTTTTAGTAGAGATGGGGTTTCACTGTGTTGCCCAGGCTGGTCTCGAGCTCCTGACCTCAGGCAATCCACCCACTTTGGCCTTCCAAAGTGCTGGGATTAAAGGCGTGAGCCGCCGTGCCCAGCCTCCCTATGACAATTTAAAAAACATTACTATAGACTTCATAAACAAAAATTATGAAAAATCCAAATCTATATAAAAGCAGAGAGCACAGTATAATAAATCTAATATACTCCTCTCTCAGCTTGAACAATTACCAACACGTGGCCCATGTTTTTTTTTTTTTTTCCTGAAACAGAGTCTCGCTCTGTTGCCCAGGCTGGAGTGAAGTGTTTGATCTTGGTTCACTGCAACCTCTTGACCTCCTGGGTTCAAGTGATCCTCCTGCTTCAGTCTCGAGTAGCTGGGACTACAGGAATGTGCCAGTACAACTGGCTAATTTTTAAAAATTTATCTTTTGTAGAGATGGGGTCTGTGTTGCCCAGGCTGGTCTCAAACTCCTGGGCTCAAGTGATCCTCCCACCTTGGTCTTTCAAAGTGCTGGGATTACAGGCATGAGCCACTGTGCCCAGCCTGGGACAATTTTAAAGAACAAATGGAGAAAAACCTGTTGGTTTATGACAAAGACTGAGTGTGGCAGGTACACTGGTTAGCTGACCTATTACATCCTCCTAATTTCCTTCCTCCTTGCATGTTTTCCACGACACTCACATTTCCAGCCTTCCCTACAGCTAGAGGGAGTTCAATGACCCAGCTATG